AATGTCCACCCTGGTGCTACTCAAAACCACAGTCTCTCATGTATTCCAACCTCTCTCCAGCTTGAGAACTCAGAGGAGGGACAGAGACTGTGGGAACTGGGGTCAGAGCAGGTCCTCTGGAGGGCTCTGGTCCACCCTTGCAGCACTGGGGACAGTGTTGGAGCTTTGGTGATCAAGAAGAAGAGCACTGTCCACTGCGTGGAAGGCTGGCTCTCAGCAGCATGGCCCCTGGAGAGTGGCAACCTTGGGCCCATCCCTTCAAGACGAGCAGTACTTTGCCAAGCAGTGAGGAAGAAGCTGTTGATCAAAGAACTCAGCCATGGTTGAAAATATTTTTATTGCTGTGTGATTTTGTTGTGAGAAGGGTGGAAATGTGGCCTGAAAATCTGAATGATTTTCAAAATCATCTTCCAATGCACAATTATGTAAGTTACAAAATCATGCATTAAGGATGATGAAGAAGATAGACATTTGTAGCAAAATAATCATTTTTGAAGATTTGATCATTGGCCTGAAAAAAGTAACTAATGATGTTTCATGAGAAATATTTCATATTTGTGAGCATTCCCTTTTGCTATGAAAGACTTTGAAAGTATTAACATAAATCAATGCAAAACACAGTCTCAAATTTATGTACTACACTATGTTATACAGCTAAACAATTTTTAAGTTTTTCAAACATTTGATCCTATTATTCTCACTAAAATATCTTTATTGCTGAAAGATTCTGTAATTGGCAAATTGAATGTATAAAATGTTTTCCTGCAATATTTATCATCTATTCTTATGTGTCTCAAAATGTAGACAACACATAAATACATACACAGACACATACATTTAAGATCATAACTGTTGGAAAATACTAGAATTTTTGAACTGAGGATCAGCAGGGCGAAGGTATTTATCCCCACTTGATTCCAGATTCTGAGGTCAGAGCCTGAGCAGCGGCCCTTTGCCCATCTGGAGCCACCTCTGCTCCACAGAAGCTCCATGAGCCCATCCAGCTGCTGGGCACAGACTGACCTTGTGACCTCTGCCAGATGCCTTCTCCAGACTATTCCCTATTTTTCTGGAAAAATGCAGAACACTAGGCTTACAGTTTGACTTTAGGAAACCTGAATTACTTGAAACCCAGCAGGAAATGGGACTCTGACTTCGAAGTACAAGTGTAGCTTTGACTCCAGCTTTCAGTTGCAGAAGCAGAAGCGAAGAGGGATGTCTTATAGAGGAGCCCTGAAGAACCCAGCAAAGATGGTGGCAGTTCTGCATCATCAGCCAAACTCAGAGTCTGTCCCCACAGGGAAGGCCTTCTCACCTCTGTTCCACCATGCAGCAGATTCTGGCTACAAGGGGATATGAGCCCCTGGAACATGTATGGCTCTCTGAGCTCTGGGGTGAGACAGCTGAAGGATAACCCAAAAGGTGCTATAGGAACCACCATGGGAAGCAAAAACTGGGACAGTCAAAGTCGGTGGTGTTCTAGGAGACCCAAGGACAGAGTCTGCGTATGACCTACAGAAGATCTGGGGCATGGCAATGTTTGTGTTACAGCACGTCTGAGACAAGGCCACATATGGCCTCCATGAGATCTGGGACACGGCCACATATGTCCTTCAGGAGATCTGAGGTGTGGCCACAGCTAATCACTTGTCCTCCCAGATACCATTTCTTTCCTGCACCATCTTCCCAATTGTCCTTCAATGCCCAGAGCCAGGCAACCATTGCTAAGTCTGTCCTCTGAAGCATTTATACCATGTCATACTGAGACAATGAAAACCAGATGTCATCAGTTCAGCTCTTTTTTATTTAAGATATATTTGAAGTATGGAAAATTATATTCAGCCTCAACAGGGATCTAGTTAGTCTAGATGATATGAACTGACTTTGAAAGCCCAAACTGTGCTTCAAGCTACTAAATGAGAACTTTTCTTGCATATGTAATTACTTAATTGTCTGCTTAACTGAAGGATACTGAGTATGGTCAGTATTTCCCTAATAGTGCAGGGCCATGACTACAAACACCATGCACTGCTCAGCAGTGTCATCCATCACTTGCTCAGTGTCTACTAAGAGTGGGAGTTGGAGGAGGATACTTTTGCAAGCCTTGAGAATTTTGCTTAGGAGCACAATATCTCTGGGTTTAAATTCCTCAGGACTTCAGAGTGCAATGGGAATCTCTCAAGCACTGCAGTTTTTACTGAGAAAAAGATAGTAGTGGTAGCGTGGTATATTTATGATCAAATTTGAGGCAATTATACAACTGGTGGTTTTTATAATTTTGTTGAAGCATTTTGGAAAACATTACTAGAAATTATCAGGGATGGAAAGGAAAAGAGGAGGAAAAAATTTCCCTGGTGAAAACTGTAATATCAAAAGTTGCATTTCTTGTTATGTAGGTCTTGTTTTATCTTGGTCTTAACCATCCAGCAGAAAAGTATAAAAATAAAGTATAAAAAGTAAATCCATATTAATATGCTGAGCTGTAAAAGGCTCAACTCAACAACTTCTGACATTGCCAGTCCTGTGGACAACCCACTACTATTATGGACTACTGGACTATATTGGAATATTTTGCTGAATTCACACACCTACAATATTTATTTATTTATTTATTTATTTATTTATTTATTTATTTATTTTTCAGAACCAGGGATTGAACTCAGACCCTTGTGTTTGCCAGGGAAGCACTTATTCCATTGAGCCATCTCCCCTGCCCCAAACTGTAGCTACAACCTACAATATTTAAATGACAATGGAATACCCTTCTCTGACAAAACTAAACAAAAAAAGGGCATACAAATAAATGACCATTTTGTATCTGTATATTCAAATAGTTAGGATAGATATACAGCTACTTTCTCTTAATAAAATGAATAGAAAGATTTGTCCTAATAGTGTTTGTGGACAGGATGCCACATCTGCATCTTGTACTATGAATAACCACTATGAAGACGACAATATGCAATGTATTAATTATTGAAACTGTCCTGCTGATTGGTTTTGAAACTGCCTCATTGCTATTTGTTTCTCAATAAAATTATTTAAAAAAAGAAAACTGTAATATTAATGCTGATCTTTTAACAGATTTTTGGAGAAAAACCATCCACGCCATACAAAGCACCATTTAAAATTTACAATGGATGAGGTCTTAGCATATTCACAGTGTGGTGCAAGTATGGTCACTATCTCATTTCAGGCCATTTTCATGGTCCAAAGGAACCACCTGCTCAGCAACCCTTCTCACCCCACTGCTCCAGCCTGGAAACAAATAACCCACCACCTGACCTGAAGGTTTGCCTTCCTAGATGTTTCAAGTGAATGAGAGGAGAGATGGATCTGCTCTGTTTCTGATTTCTTTCAGGTTGTCTATTTTTGAGATTCTTTTACCTTATAACAGTATCAGCGTCTCAACTTTATGCAAAGGATAAATAATAATTCATTGTATTGTTTATTTAATCATGGATGGGTGGATATTGTCTCAGTTACTTTTCTCTCATTGCTGGGACAAAATAATTGACACCCAAAATTAAGAAAGGGAAAGTTTACTAAGCTCACAGTTGGTGGAGGTTTCAGTCCATACTCAGCTGGCTCCAAGACAGAGTAGCATATGACAGAGGGCAACAGTTCATGGCAGTGGAGAACAGCAAAGAGCAAAGGGAGGAGCAGCATATGCTAGCCATGAGGCTAGCAAGCCCGTCCCCTTCCTTATATCATATGCAGATTACCCACCCCAGGGCAGGTGTAGTACTCACACCCAGAATCCCAGCATTGGGTCTTGAGTTAATCACAAACTCTAGAAGCTGCCCCATGATTGCATAAGGGTGTGTGTGTGTGTGTGTGTGTGTGTGTGTGTGTGTGTATACACCATAACAGATATTTAGGTCATTTCTTTTCCTTATTTTCTTGTTTTGAATTCTACTGGTATGAGCATTCATGAAGAAGGTTTTGGTGGAACATGCTTTCATTCATTCAGGATGGGAAGCCTTATGGGACCCATGGTAACACAATGTTTACCATACTTGGGACTCACCAGCTTTTTGTACTTTTTTCCAATCCTCCAGATACATGTGATTTGCATTTTTTCCTGAATGTATGATCATCTGGATTCCAGAGAAGGGGGCCATAATGGACTGAGGCCCTCACAGACTCAGAGTACTCTTTTAGAAGGGAAATCAAGCCAGAATAATGGCTGAGATGATGAAACCCTGAACACATGGACCCCGGCCCACCAGTCTGTCCTTGACAATAGCCTCCCACCTGTGTAGAGGGCCATTCTGAACCCCTGTATCAGGGTGAACCCTCCAGCTACCAAAGCTGGATGCTTTTATGCCTTCCCTCTAGTCTTTCAAATAGAAGTTATTTCATGTAATAACTAATACTGTATCAATTAGCTGCAGGGATGTGTACAAGTTGCACATGAAAATTGAATATATTTCTTACTCCAAAGTGGGTACATTCCCCAGGAAAATCATCATGCATATGAAGATTTCCCACAATCCCACAGGTCTCTGACCTCTGGAGCACTCTGGTCCCAAGCACTCTGCATAAGGCACTCTCAGCCTGTAGTCAAATAAAACCCCACCACAAGCCTGGGAGCCCCAAGGCCAGAGCTGGGGCAGGGGCCTTGCTCAGGTGGTCACTGAGGCTGGGGTGGAGAGGGAGCCCTGGCTGGATGACTAGGTCACCTCCAAGTCCTGTTTCCAGGGTAGAGCCAGGCCCTTGAAAAATGCTGGAGGGAGTGAACAAGAAAGTGAACCCCTGGGAAAGGATTATAGTGACAGAGTTGGGGTTACTCAGTGACTGGGATTCAGCCCCACCATAGTTTATAACAGAGCCCAAGAAGACTGAGTGACAGTCAGATAACATCAAGCTGTGGGGATAGTTTCCCAGTGCTTCCCCTGTACCCGGAGACAGCACCACACAAGGGAGCTAGTTCAGGTTTTTATTGAGCTGTGTGTGCCCCCCACAGGTGTGGCTGAGAAAAGCACAGAAGGAAGGAAGAGAGGACAGCTCCTGCTTGTCCACATTCACTGGAGGAGCCCACTGAGCCTGGGTGCTGAGGTACAGAGGACATTGCACTAGGGCTGGGCTCAATCCTAGGGGTGGGAAGACTGCAAGGGACACGGGTAAGGAGTAGTGGGTGTGGCCTGGTCAAAGAGAACCTCAGGAACTGTGACAGTTGGAGCTTGTCAGAGCCATGTAGTCCTCCCAGGTCCTGGAGTAGACCACGAAGGAGCAGAGCTGCGTCTGCAAAAGAAAGAGAGAGGCCAGGTGAGAGAAATGTGGCTACAAGGGAGGGAGATGTCTGGCCTTTAAAATCAGAGAGGAGGAGTAGGGGAGAAGAACCCTTCACATGGCACTGTCCCTAGCTCAGGGATCCTAGGTCCTTGTCCCCCATGGCTCCCAGGGAGCAGCTCTGCAGGACCAGAAACTCAGGGACCACAGGCAGGGCCTGCAATGACAACCCTATCACCTCCACCTCAGCCCACGGCAACACTCAGAGGCACCTAGGGGGAGAATCAGGCTTGGTGACCCAGATAGGTGGGTGGGCAGGGAGGCAGGGACTTAGTCCCAATGGCACAGTCTCCAGGGACCCAACTTTTGGGAAAGGCTGAGGTTGAGGGCAGCGAGAGGTGTTGTTGGTCCTCTCAGGTCAGATCTGTTCTGCTCAGTTCTGGGTTGGGCAAAGATGGGATTCCCCAAGCCCTCTCCTCCACAGCAGCCCTGCTGCCCCTCCTGCCTAGCAGCAGCACCCCAAAGGCAGGAGTCACCTCCTAGCACACCTTTCCCAGAGTCCACTCAGCACTCCAATCAACCCGCAGTGCACAGCCCCACTCTGCTACCCACACACAATGCCTCATAGCCACACACACACACACACACACACACACACACACACACACACACTCCCTCACTACCTGAGTTGCCCTTGCCCACTTCAAGTTCATACCGGTTCCCCACTGAGCAGACAGTCCTCCTGGATGGGCTGGTCCTTGGCACAGGTGGTTCTGCCAATCTCCACATCCAAGTAGTAGTTCATGCCGGCCACCACCTAAAGTGGAAGAGCAGGGCTCTCTCAGCACTCTGTCCACCTTAAGCTCTCAGTTACTGGCTGCACTGGACTCATGCTTGTCTGGGCTCAGGCCCAACACAGCCAACTCACTGTGCTCTGAATCTTCCTGTGGGATGGCTCAGCCCTAAGTTCAGTTTTTTTTTTTTTGTTGTTGGGCTAGCTCACCCTGCCCTGGGGGTGGGGCTTCATAGCATGTGGTGCTGGGGATCGAACCTGCAGTCCCCTGTGCCTGCCTAAGCTTGCCTGAGCAGGTGCTTTAGCCTGCAGAGCTATCTCGCCAACACCCCAAGTTCAATTTTTTCTTTCCAAGAAGCTATAGACAATAAATTTATGCCCCAGAGCAAGACAGAAACGGGAAACCCTCAGGTAGTAGCCCGGGCTGCACACTGTGATCTGCACTGTGGAAGGGAGGCTTGCATGGAGAGCAGCCAGGGCACTGAGCCAGCACTTCCTGTCCAGGAGGCAGTGCGGGTCCACGTCAGCAGGCTCTGTGCCCAACTGAATGCACTGGATGCTGTTCCAGGAGAGCTGCGATTAAGGACTAAGTGGAGGTGAGCCCTTTGATATCTGGTCACCACAACGTCCTCTTCCCTGGCTCTGCAGAAGGGAACCCTGCTGCCCTCAAGGACTGTGAGGCTTACAAGGGGGACACATTGGATACTCTTAGGGTTCTCAGGAACTGACTGCGAGGTCACAAAAGCATGCACCCAAGTCTATCCGCAGCCCTATGCTTTATGGGAAGGAAGGAGCAGAGCACTGTGGCCAGCGGTAGCATGAGAAGGATGAGGGCAGGATCCTAGGAATCCTCTGCTCCTGCTGCACCTGCTCTGTAATTTTGAAATCATGACAGAGCCTGGAGCTGAAGGACAGTGGAGAAGGATGGAGAGGAGAGATCAGGTGAAAGATCCTGGTCCCTGCTATGTGTTCCTTAATCTCAAAGCCTGCACCAGGGGGTGATCAGCATTAGCCAGGAAATGCCTTACCTGGCATCTTGTGCCTCTGCCAGCTAGGGTAAGAATAGGGTCTAAGGATAGGTGTCACCTGCTGTGATGGCCAAGACCCAGCCAGGATTTTCATGCAGTGATTCCAGGACATGCTCAGTACTGGCTGCAGGGACAGAGTAACTCCAGAGATGGGGCTTGAGGGAGAGCCATGGTGGTGCCCATATGAATGAGGGTCCCTGACGAGGCTAGGGCTGCAGAGTAGGCAGCACAGCCTGAGTGAGGGAGGGGAGGCGCAGAGCAGGAAGAAGGTAGCAGCGGCATGTGCATGTGGACAGTACCTCCTAGGCAGCCTTCTTCAGCCCTGGAGACCACCCACCTGCTTACGGGCACGCACCACCCGCACCACGCGGCTCAGGCTCAGGTCATTGTTGTCCTTGTTGTACTCGCGGAGGGCGAAGTCCACAGCCTGCTGCACGCCTTCATCACTAGGATCCACATCTTCCAGGCCGCCGAGAATGGGAGACCTCTTGTGATGGAACTTAAAGGCCTTGTGGGTCAGGGCCAAGTCCAAGAGCACTGCAGCCAGGAGCAGCAGAGTGACACGCAGGGATGAGGCCATGTCTGCAGGACAGGAAGCCGGAGCTGTAGGATGCAGAGGGCAGAGATCCAAAGGCCACATTGCTGGACTAGGCATTCCTGCTTTATACTATGAAGCCACAGCCCCTCCCAGCCACCCCTCCCAGCTGCCCAGCCCAGGCCCTCCTTTCCTGCTGGTCCCTTCCCCCACTGTGGCTTCCAGTGCTGGCTGTTTCTGCTGGGTGTCTCTCTCTCCTTCAAGCTCAGGGCCTGGGCTTTCCTCCTCCTACCATTTCCCCCACAACTCCTGCTATCCTAACCCTCTTACCTCTCTCCCTCCTGAGTTCTCCCAGGCTCAGTTTCCTTGTTCTCCAGAACTCACTGGTTCCTAAATAGTGCAACTCAGAACTGTATTTCTACAGGAAAGAGTCTGAGCGGTCTCTGCTTCCCAGGGGCCTTTGAGGTCAGGCTCTTCGAGGGGTCAAGGGCAGGGACTCCTGAGAAGAGGAAGGTGATTGCAGAGGTGTCTGGAATCTCTGTCCTGAGAAAATTCTCTTCCAAGCAGAACTGACTGCTATTTACTTGGGAAAGGACATTGGCTCTAACTTAAGTACCTGTGATCAGCGAGTCAATCAACAGATCTCCCAGTCACTTGCTGTATGCCAGAGTAGGAAACAGGTAGCTGTTTTTGTGTGGCTTTTGGAATGTAAGTGTTTTTATAACCTGCTCCATAGGTGTCATCATTTCTAGCTCCCACCTCCCTATATGGTGCAGGTTGAGCCCCAGCTTCAGGGAGGAAATTTGGGGATGGGTGACTACACTTCAGAAAAGGGCATCAGAGGAGCACTGCTGGAAGGAGAGGAAAGAACGGTGGCAGAGAGTTGGATATTTAATCTCCAAGCCCATCCTCTTTCTCTCAGGTACCCAGGAACCAAGACAATAAGGTGACTGTAGCCAGGTTTCCCAGGTCCCCTAGCCCTTGCCTGACATCTGCAGGACTGCACTCGGAGTGGAGAGTGATGTCCACCAGCACACACACTTGCTTTGCACTTGGCTGGTGTGGGACAAAGGACCTCAGGAATCAGCAGTGGTGTAGCACAGGAGCACTGCACCGTGAGCTGAGAGGCCCAGCAGACTGGTGTGAAAGCTGCAGCAATTTATTCTGAGGATTCAGCTGAGACCCCGAGCAAGTTTCCTACAGTGCTGAGCAGATTCCCCATGTGAATGAAATGGTACTGGGATAGCACAAGAGACATCTGGGATTTCACTATAGAGAGGAGAAATGAACTCGTGGCTCGACAGTGTCACACAAGGCTGGCCATCTGCTCAGGAGTGAAGACAGCTGGTGAGGTCAAGAGAACTCCATGCTCTGCCACCGGGATGAATAAGCTGGATCCTGGAAGAGCAGCTGGCATTAATCTGCCTGTGGCCTGTGAACAGCACAGAAACACAAGTCGGGTGGCATTTCTCACAGGTGTGAAAGTCTAGTTCAGTATTTGAATACCATTATAAACCATCCCATAAACACAGAAAGGAAAATTCAAATGATCATAACCATAGACAGAGAAGGAGTACCCAATAAAGGACAGCATGCTGTGTGACAAAATGTCACAGCACATTGCAGGGAAAGGGCCTGGAGAAAGATGGCCTTGATGAATATCACTGTAGAAACACATAGACCCATCACACTCCCTGAGAATGATTTACAAGCTTCCTCCTAAGAACAGGCACAAGGCAGGAATATCTGCTCCATGCACAGTGTGCAAGATCACACTGGAAGTCAGAGCTAAATCAGTACAATGGGAGCAGAGGAACAGAGGCCATTCCCAGAGAGGGACAGTCTTTCTACACACAGGGCTGGGTCAGCCAGACTTCCACATGTGGAAAGGGAGTCCAGACCCAGACCTGACTCTCATCACACATCTAGCTTCAGATTGGGCACTGACACAGTATGCCATGCAGAGCTCTAAAGCTTGCAGAAGATGAAAGGATACCTAGATGAGCTGAGCCAAGTCACATCTGTCTTAGATGCTCAAAGTACTGGCCCTGGAAAGTTGTTAAAAGCTATGAACCAGGCCTCAATCAAAGGAGAAACTTCTTTGCAGAACACCTAATAGAGCAGGGAGATAAGACACAGAGGGCAAAGTGTTTGCCAAATGCACTTGTCCTAGAGCACTATTTCTCAAAATTAAGAAGGCTTCAAATTGATCATGAAAGAAATGAGCTCATTTTGTTAACGGGGTACACATCTTAACTTACACCTCAGGAAGGAGACCTCCAGATGGGGATGAATACTGAGCACAGGGTCCTTGCCCATTGTCAACAGGACATCAAAGGTGAACACCCCGGATGTGTAATGTGAGCCGTCGCCTCTCCCAGGGTGGCCTGAGTCCAGATGATGACAACTCCAGTGCTGGAGAGGATGTGGAGCAGCAAAAGCCCATCAGTACTTGCTGTGGGAGGAAAAGAGCCACTGAGGGAGAGAGTTTGATGGGTTCCGAACAGCTAAACAACCCTCACCCTAAGGTCCATCAGTCCAGCTTCTTGACATTTCCTGAGAAGACCCATAGAATTACATTCACTTAGGTGTCTATATTTAGAGTTTCATCCAAATTTGCCACAGCCTGCCTGCAGCCAGTGTTCCCTTCCGTCAGGGCTTTGGGACACCAGACACACCCAGGCAGCAGAGCACTGTTCAGGGCAAAGGAAAATGAACTTTCAAGTCCTCTACAGACTTGGAAGAAATGCAAATTCCATCATGAAGTGAGGAAAGACAACCAATCTGCAAGGCTGAATCCTGTGCATCAAGTGCATGATATCCTGGAAAGGAAGGACAATGCAGGAATTGAAAAGATCACTCACTGTCACTCTAAGGATGTCCCAGTTACATGGAGGGTGTCAAGGCCATAGGACCACTGTATATGACCCTGTGGTGCTGGAAAACAGTCCCTGCATTTGTCCTACATGCAGGCTGTAGGTGGGGCATCCTGGTGTGGAGCAGCTCTTGGGAGGTTGGTGCAGCGTTGCAGCAGCAGCAATTGTGAATGTAGCAAGCTAGGGGAGGAGGAAAGGCTCCCTGTGTGAATCAGCTCCTGGTTGCAGTGCCCAGGTGGAAGACATGCTTCTTGAAGTTTTCTCCTCACCTGAAACTTCACTTTCAAATGAAAGAGTTGAAAATGCCCAACATTTTAAAATTAGTATAATAACAACAACAAAGAAAATCTCAGCACACAGACTGTCAGCATTGTAGCAAGCTAATCATCTCTCTGGAGGGCATAGTTACCTCACTCTGTGCCGTGTGCTTTCCCTGTGGCTTTAGGGTTTGAACACTGGGCAGAGCCTTGCTTTGTGTATAAACTGCCCTTACATACAATTAGATCTCATTTTCCTTTCTATGTGTTTGCCTAGATTTCACTACTTTTGTTCCCTTATGAAGATGACCTGATGTCATAAATTTTGATTTTAGGTTTTCATTTTTATTCTCTCTCTCTTTCTAACAGCTAAACAACTCAACAACTCCCCCCCCTTCAGCCTCTGATTCCACTTCTTTCAAGCCTTTCCACGCCCACTAGGCTGACCACGTCTATCTCACTGTCTGCTCCTGATATCACAAGTCCTATGCCTCTGACCTTATGCTACCATCACACAATGACATTGGTGATGACCTCAGCCCTAGCTGCATGGACAGATCCTTTACTGAATCACCTCAGCACAATCCTCTTACCATGTAAGATTTGTGTGTGTGTGGTGGGGGATAACAGGCTGAGAAGGGTTAGAATGGGACCATCTCTGGGGACCTCGTTGTGCCTGGCACCCACCATTCATGAGTCACTTTCTCCTGCTTAGAAGACCATGGTCAGAGAATACCATCCTAGTTCTCCAGGCTCCCTGTATGAATCAGCTCCTGATCACTGTGACTGCAAACCAGAGAAAGGGGGACAAATTGATCCTGGCCTTGCAGTCACAGAGGCTCCAGTCCATGGTCAGCTGACTCCATGGTTGTAGGCTAAGTGGAGCTCACAGCATGGGAAGAGGGATGGTGGGGCAGAGCTGCTCACCACGTAGTATGTGAGCTTCAGAGTGCAGGAGAAATAGCCAGAGGGGAGAGGCTGGGACCAGATATCATTCCCAAGACCGTGTCCATGACCACTCCTGTCCCTAGCCCTGTTAGTATCCTCTCCTGCTGCTGTGATTAACTCTGACCTCCTCAGTGGAATTTTTCAGCAGTACTTTTAGAGCCTCACAGTCTGATCCCAAGCCCTATGGTCATAGTAGGGACAGAGGAGCTTGCGTTCATCAAGGAACACAGGAAGGCATATAGAGCAAGAAAAAGCATGCCACTGTTCTGAGAAAGGCCATAATGGGTCCCATAAGTGAAGCCATCAGTGGAGCAACTGACACAGGCTACACTGTTATAGGGACTCACAACTGAAACCTGCAGGCCACAGGAGCTCCCACTTTCATTCCAAAGACTCTGTCATGGAAGCATTTTTGCAACGGCCTTGATGGGGTCCAGACCTCATATCTCAGGGTCTGCAAACCTCCAAGGAACACAGAGCAAGCTCTTCAAGTACAGACTGGTCCTCACTGACAGAAAAGGCAAACTCCAAAATGCCCCAAAATCTAGAATTTAGTAAACATTAATTAGCATGACACCAAAATTGAAGACTCCAACACCACAGAATGGTGCTTCATGCCCCAAATTATTAAGTATGTCCTTAGGATTTGCTTTGACTTAAAATAATTTAATACTAGTTATGCTGCTCTAATATCTTGGCTTTCATTCATACATTACATGCAAATAGGATAAATGTTTATACTAGAACATTTTGGGTATCCTTGGTTCTACTAAGTGTGTTTTCATCGTGCTGTTTATAAAAGGTTGCAGCATAGCTTTATTCACAGACCTTCATTAAACACAAGGTTCTTACAAGTTAAAATTATTTTTTAAGAGTTAAAATTCTAATGTGTAATTGTATAAAGAAGTAGAGCTATATTTCTATTGTGAATGGACACATTTTTTTGCAATGGAAGAAAGAGAAC